GCGCGGCAGGCGGCGACGGGGGCCGCGGCGGCCGGGTCGCCAACGGCGAACAACGACCTCACCACGGGGACCTTCGTCTTCGCCCCCCCCCCGCCCGCCCCCCCTCGCTCCCCCCCCCTTTCCACCCCCGTCTTTCCGTTACAGATGAGTCCTCCCTGCCGCGCACCCAGACCTGTAGGGAGGGCGGCCTGGGCGTTTCGCGTGGGTCCTCGCAGTGTCTGGCCCTGAAGCCTGAGACTTCTACCAGCTTCGAGGACGGACGGCGGGCCGTTTTCACAATGTTGCTCTTGTATCAGCGCCGCACACATCCGTCTTAAACGTTTGCACCAGCTGCACAGATTAAGGGCAGGGCGTTTTTCAAATTCTGCTCTCGCCTTAGCGCCGCGCGCGCTCGTCTCCAAAGCTTGCACCACTTTCAAACATGGAGAGAAGCTCCTTTCCAAGATGTTGGCTCGCGCCTTAGCGCCGCGCACGTTTGTCTGACACACGCACAGCTTGTTTGTTTAACATTCGTGAGGTTTAAACCGCATAAGCGTTTTTTGGGGGCGCGATGTAGAGCTGTCAGGACGTAAAAGTCACGTTGGTCCGCGGTGTAGAAGTTTGCCACGGTTTAGGGTTGTCAGGACGCAACAGTCACGTTCATTCGCAGCGCTGGCGCGATTTAGGATTCGCACCGTCAAATTGCATTTCCCAGAATGCAGAAATTTCTTCGTAGGGACCTTCGAAGAGGAAACTTGGTTGGAGGGTTTATTTCACCATCGTGGGTGGATCTTGGGTTAACGCTGGCCCTCCTCCCTCTCCCTCCCTCCCTCTCTCCATCCCTCCCTCCCAGGAGCATCGTCGGTTCTCGGCGGCTTTCCAGCTTCGGGGTGCTCTCCAGACGCTGCGCCTCGCCGAGTGCGTTTCGCGGGTGCCCGAAACGAACGGCCGCCAGAGAGCCGAGTTATGATCCGAAGGCAACCGGCCAATGTGGGGGGAGGCCATTTCGGGCGTGCCAGTCGTCCTCGCCGCCCCGCAGATCTTCAGCGATATGGTGTTTTTGTTCAGCCAGGCGTTTGTCCAGACTCAGGCCCTTGGGGTGGCCGTTATCGGACCTCAGAGCCATCAAGAACGTGTCTTGAACGGAAACTACTCCCAGGGAAGCGGTCGGGACCTTGGGTTGCGTATTGAAAAATACAGATCGGCGGGTGTCAGAGAGGTACGAGGGGGTTTTCTTTCAGTTTTCGTCCCCGAGGGGGCCCGCTTCGGGCTCCTGGGACATCAGAACTTGGCCCGGGGTGAGAAACTGCCTAGGGGTGGATCCTGGGAAGGGTCCCGTGACAACTTTTTGAGTGGATTTCGGCCGCGGAAGATCGAGGAGTGACCATCCTTGGTCGTCCTTGTCCTCGTCCTCGTCCTCCTCTTCCTCCGCCTCGGTCGAGGCACTTGCCAAGTGCCTTTTCGGATGCCCTCATTGTCCATCGCATTTTTCCCACAACCTCATTCGCCCTCGTCTTCTTGGCTTCATGTCCCTCGTCCGCTCCCCTCTCCCCTCCGATCCCGTCATCAGCATCAGGCTCGAGCTCACACCATAGTATACCTCTCAATTCGAGGAGAGCGCGCCCATGCATACACAGTGCTGTCATTCCACTTTGGAACAAAGTGCGGCTTGCTGGGTCCCTGCCCCAATCCTCCTGACCATGCGTTCACTCACTGCGCGCAGCTCAGGCTCCCATCAGTATGTAGATGATGAGATTGGCACCCGCCGCGCCTCATGCTTCGTGCGCTCCTCCTCCTCTTCCTCCTCCTCCTTCTGCTCCTCCGCCTCGTCCTCCTTGTCCTGGTCCTCGTCTCCGCTCCCGCTGGCATCTGCCTCCTCGTCTTCATCGTCGTCCTGTGTCCTCTCGTCTTTCTCCTCGTTCTGGACCTTATCCTCCTCGTTATGAGGGCAATCTGAGGGTCATCTCACTGGAGCGTATTGCCACGTCGCGCTGTTTCTTGGGCAGGCACTTGCTCAGCCTGAAGCATCCCCGTTCTGGTGTCCACGCAGCCGTCCTAAGTTATAGTCCTCTGCCTCCTGCTGCTCCTCGTTTTCCTCCTCGAAGTACCCCTTCTCTTTTCTCCTCCTCCACATCCACCCCGTTGTTCTCACGCTGTCCCTCCCTTCCGCCCCCACCCCCCCTCCTTGGTCCCTGGGTCGTCCTGCAGGACACGCATTCTCGCGGCCCTGGCGTACCTGCTGCCGCTCATCGACTCGATCCAATTCGGGATCGCGCTGACTCAGGTGTTTCCCATCTTCACGCCCGTCCTCGCACTCCTGGCGATCCCCTCCCTCGTCATCAACGCGCTCCCGTTCGGCATCGGCACGATCATCCTGTTCGGGGCCTGGCTCTTCCTGGCCAGCAGGCCCGAGTACCCCAGACTGGTGCGCTTCAACTTGCTGCAGGCGGTGTACCTGGACATTGCGTTCTACTTGCCCACCACCTTCCTGGCGCTCATCGGGGGGGCGAGTGGAAGCCACGCCCGGCACACCTTCTCCTTTTCCAGGCTCCTTCCCCCTATACCCCGTCCTATCGCCTCTCCTTCCCCCCTCCCTCCCTCCCCGCTCTCTCCCTCCGGCCCCCTCCTCGCCCCTCATTGCTCTGCTGGGTGGGTGGGTGGGTGGGCGTGCCTTCCCTGCTCCCCGTCATCAGCGGGGGGCTGCCTCCAGAGATCGGTGGGTTCCTGTATTTGGCTCTGTTCGCAGTGTGCTCCTACTGCGCGTTCAAGAACTCGCAGGGGGAGTATCCCGACGGCTTGCCGGTCGTTTCAGATTTCGCCCAGAGGAATGTCGACCAGCTTACAGATGAAGCCCAGAGATGATAGACTCGGATCAGGACGGGCGGCCCTAGAGGGAAGCCAAGCATCACGTACAGGACAGAACATAACAGGACTGCTGTTGACGCGGCCCAGATTTTTCGCTCGTCCTGGCCTACGAGCCAGGTAGCCTCACAGCAAGCGCACGTTCTTAATTGCACGTGCTCACAGTCATGCTGAACTTTTTAACGTCCCGCGCCTAGGCGAGAACACTTGTGTGCGTGGTCCTTACGTCGAGCTTGTTCGATTTTTGTTCGGCGGTCCAACTAATATGTCCAACCAGTATGATAACAATTGCCAGCAAGGCTACGATCCCAACTAGACAGGGAACTCCCTCCTTGCCTCCTCCTATCTCTGTGGCTGTCTCTGCCCGTCTATCCGTCTGTCCTTTTTTCCGTCCGTCTGCCTGTCCGTTTGCGTGTGTGTGTGTGTGTCTATATTCCTTCCCTCCCTCGCTCTCGCTCTAATTTCGGCCCGAGGGTCTTTGACCCATCGCGCAGCCAAGGCACGAAACGCCCAACACTTCCGTCGAGCGCATCGCGGGACAGGACGCGCCATCACGCCGTGTGACTGATTCGTGCCAAAATACCTTCAATATCCGCGCGCGCCATGTCTCAGAAAAATCCTCGGCGCGCGTCCCCTGCACCACGGCAACCCAAACCACCAGGCAGAGGCCGCCAACATGCCACCGCACCCAATAACAATTTGTCCCGAAGGACGCTTGCATCTCCGCCCTCCAGAGCAATTGTGGCGTTGACTGAGCAGTCGTTGCATACAACGACCTCGGTCACAAGCACCGCGCCGATCTCGATACCATACCAAGAACACCGCTCCGTCCAACGCAATTTGAGGAGCGAACCCATGAGATCGAACGGACATGAAGATAAGCTACACCATGCCGCGCTACTATACTCTCTCATGCGCAAGAAGGCATCATGACGTGACCCGCCAGGCGTCGCGGTCGATGCCGATGCCCACCAGGGCAAAGGCAGGGTTTTCTCATCAGCTCCGACGCACAACACTAGGACGCCCCCGTTGCCATTGCGCCCGTCTGAGAGGGCGACGGGACGTCGTAACGTCTCACTTCACACGCTAGAGTAGGCGGCCGCCTACTACAGCATATTCACACGAGAAAACTCTCGAGCGCTTGCGGGCCTGGGATCCGTCAGCGCCGACTACCATGGACAATGGTTCCAAATTTAACTCTTCCGCCGCGCGGCCAGGGCCACCATACCGTGGCCTGGGCACATCCAAGAGGCCATCTACCAGCTAGTTTCGTGGTCCGAGCCACTTTCGACCCAGCGGACGGAGTCGTCTGGGCCCGCGCAGCAATCTGCGAGACAGGCGCCATTGCCGTCGCACCCGCGATGGAACAACCCTTCACGGCCCGGTTCTTTTGAACAGCACCCATCAACGGCAACCGTCACCCAGGCGGATCAGGCACGGCCCAACACAAGGCCAATAAACACCATGAACCGGTCAATCGGGACGCCTCGCGGAAACATCTCGACGACAACCTCGCCGATTCGATCACGGCTGCGTTCGCGTCCTTCTTCCGCGCCGACTATTGCGAAGAAGCAACAGAGCTTCTAGGCCGCCGTGGCACGGCCGTATGCAAGCTTGCGCTTGCGGCTACGTTCGGGGCCGAGCCGGTCGACGTGCCCATGGTCTTCGTCGCATCGGGGCAGGGAGGGATTTAGTTAGACATCTGCTACCGCGGCGACAAAGCCCCACCGGCTAGTGACTGCGTCATTTCGCGGTGCCCAGGTGGCCGCCAGAATATGTTGTTGTGTTTTTGGACCCTGACATTACGGATCTGCGTGAGGGGTGCCGCCGGATTTCAGAAATGTTGCAAATCTTTTGTGTTTTTTGCACCCTGGCCCCGCCGATCTGCGTGAGGGGTGCCACCGAATGTCAGAAATGTGGCGCATCCCATGTGTTTTTGGACCCTGGCCCCGCCGATCTGCGTGATGGGTGCCACCGAATGTCAGAAATGCGGCAAGCGTTTTTGGACCCTGAGCCCGCCGATCTGCGTGAGGGGTGTTAATTTTTATCGGCCCCGGCAATTCAGACAACGCGCTCATGGCGTGCTAAACCTGCCCGTTTGCCCCCCCCCCCCCCCCCCTCGCGCGGTCCCTCAACGAGGAACAGTAAGCGGCAATAGG